TTCGGTAAGAACAAAACGCTTTGTGGGACCCAATGCATTCGGTCCCAGAAGAAGTCCACTAAAATTGCCTGTATCTTAGCTAGCAATTGTGTTGGAGGATCTATACACATTAATCGGTGCCATAACATAGAAGAAACCAAATTGTTAATTACTAGTGTTCGACCTCTAAAAGACATATGTTGAAGAATCCATTTCCACTTTTTTAAACGCCCCTCAACTTTCTCTAAAGCATTTTCCCAGTTCTTACACATTAAAGTTTCATCACCAAGATAAACCCCAAGGTACTTAAAACCCCCCTTACTCCAGGTTAACCCACCAGGTAAAACAAAATTCCGTCTTAATTTTTCACTGATTGTTATGGCTTTACTTTTTTCCCAGTTAACTTTAGCAGAAGATAAAACACTAAAAACATTAATATTTTTAACAAGAGTGTCAATATCTTTTTGTTTGTTAATATTAAGTACAGTGTTTAGAATTTTTAAAAATATCATCCTTTCAATGCCCATATTCGGAGCATATACATTGATAAAGGACATTTTCACATTCTCAAAGGCAGCTTGTATTTTTAACAGTCGACCCGATCTCTACTTTAATGGCGGCGCGTTCACACGCTGCGGCTTTCTCTCTCTCCCCACAGAAAGGTGTTTTCGTGTTTTTTGTCTTGTGAGTCGCAGTGTTTTTGTACGTATTCGTCGCGTCTATCTCTCTCGAAGCGCGCATACAGTCGTGAGTTTCTGCTCGATGTCGGCAGAACCACATTTTTAGAGTTAAACTCTGCGCACGCCGAAGAGCTGCGGGATCTCAGCCTGCTCCGGAGTTAACAAGAGTGTCAATATCTTTTTGTTTGTTAACAATTACAACAACATCATCAGCATAAGCAGATAACTTAAAACCTGTTCCACAACCAGGAAGAGACACACCAGAAAGAGATCGCCTTAAATTATGTAAAAGAGGCTCTATTGCCAAAGAATACAACATACCGGATAGTGAACAACCTTGTCTTATTCCCCTCTGAACCTTGAAAGGAGCACTTAAACCACCGTTGACCTTCAATAAACTCTCAATATCATTTTACAAGACTCAAATCATATTTATAAAATTAGAACTAAAACCAAAAGCATCCAATGTTTGCCACAAATATTGATGCTCAACTCTATCGAAATCCTTTTCTTGGTCTAGTGAAATTAAAACGTTTTCGCAGCCCACTAATAACTTTCTAAGAAATCACGAATTAAAAAAATATTATCAGATATTAACCTATTTGGAATGCAATATGCAATATGAACATGAATGATATGCTCCATCACTTTTCTCAGCCTCAAAGCCAACACCTTGGACAAAATTTTATAATCCGTGCAGAGTAACGCCACTGGCCGCCAGTTCTTAATCTCTTGCAAGTCCCCCTTCTTAGGGAGAAGAGTGAGAATTGCTCTCCTGCAGCTCGAAGGTAACAGCCCTTTACTTAGACTGTCCCTGAGAACAAGCAGTAGATCCTCTCCCAGGACAGGCCAGAAAGCTTTGTAAAAGTCAACAGGAAGTCCATCGATACCCGGAGCCTTGCCTATTTTGCCTATTTGTAACGCAGAATACAGCTCCTCAGCAGAGATCTTTGTATTCAACTCTGCCATAGCTTTCTTAGCTTTCTCAGGTAAGTCTCTATAAAAGACTGTGCCACCTCAGGATTCTCTTGGAATTCCTTTTTGAAAAGCTTCTCATAAAAACCAACTGCACATTTTCGTATTTCTACAGACTCTTTCAACAACTGCCCAGTACTGGACCGCAAAGAATGCATGAGCCTTTTCTGTCCATTCTTTCGTTCAAGGCCAAAGAAAAAGTGAGAGGGAGCATCCATTTTTACAATATTTTGATACCGTGACCGAACTAAAGCACCTTGAGTAGAAAAACCCAAAAGGCTGGATAGAGCTAACTTTTTTCTTTTAAGATCTTTAAAATATTCTCCATCTTTTGTGGAGTTTTCCAATCCTTGCAATTCCTCTATCTCATTCTCCAAAATGTTCATAGATTTTGTCATGTCCCTTGTGACATTGAGAGTATATTGTAAACATAGTTGCTGTATTTTTCCTTTCCCTATGTCCCACCACTGTTGTAAAGAAGTGTATTCAGCTTTAGTTTTTTTATAACCACTCCAAAAATACTTAAAAGCATCAATAAAAACATTATCTGAAAGCAAAGACACATTGAAGTGCCAATAAGCACTGTTACATTTCACATCCTTAACAAAAATGGAAACTTGAACAAGGGAATGATCTGAAAGGCCAACTGGATGTATTGAACAGCCTCTAGGAACATTAATGTGATGTTTAAAACAATAAAATCTGTCAAGCCTTGCCAAAGATAAAACATTATCCTTTGCATGAGTCCAAGTATACTGACGTTGAGTATTGTGAAAAAATCTCCAGACGTCACATAAATCATTTGTTTCAATTATACTAATAAGGCTTTTCATACTAGCTCTGTGCGGTTCAAGATGGTTCCTGTCTAGAGCTGCATTTGCAGTGCAATTAAAATCACCGCCCAAGAACATATACTCATGCACATTACATTTATTAAGTACAGTGTTTAGAATGTTTAAAAATATCATCCTTTCAATGCCCATATTCGGAGCATATACATTGATAAAGGACATTTTCACATTCTCAAAGGTAGCTTGTATTTTTAACAGTCGACCCTTAACTATTTCTTCAGTAACACATGAAATAGGTGAAAAATCCTTAGAAAAAAGGATGCCAACACCTCCACTATTACTGCTCTTATGACTGAGAAAAACTTCCCCATCCCACTCCTTATTCCAGTCAGTTTCATTTTCAGTTGTGCTATGTGTTTCTTGTAAGAAAATAACATTTAATTTCCTAACTTTAAACAAATTAAAAAGAGAAATTCTTTTCACATCTTCTCTGGCACCATTAATGTTTAAGGAACCCAGCTTTATGTCACACATGACAAAAATAGGACTAAACAAGACAATAAAATAAACCCCAAAAAAGAAAAGACAAAACAACAAACACTTAAACATCATTTGCTATTTGTGTTTTAACTTTCACCATTAACTTCTTAAGACGAAATATTTCCTGATCAGTAAAGGTTGATTGTGTGGTAGGTTCTGTATTTTTCATGAAAAGCCTAGCTGAGCTAAGAAACAACGTCAAATCTGGAAAGAATTCTTCAACTTT